TCACCACTCCTGTTCTACATAGTACTGTGAAGTATTAGCCATTGCAATTAGGCAAGAAGAAGAAATAAAAGGCATCCAAATTGGAAAAGAGGAAGTAAAACTGTCCTTATTTGCAGATGACATGATATTATACATACAAAACCCTAGAGACTCCATCAAAAAGCTACTAGACTTAATACATGAATTTGGCAATGTAGCAGGATACAAAATTAACCCCAAGAAATCTGAGGCATTTCTATACTCCAATAGTGAACTTTCAGAAAGAGAGATTAGAAAAACAATCCCATTTACCATCGCACCAAAAAAATTAAGATACCTAGGAATAAACTTAACTAAAGAGATTAAAGACCTCTACTCAGAAAACTACAGGACGCTGAACAAAGAGATAGAGGAATACATAAACAGATGGAAGAACATACCATGTTCTTGGATTGGTAGAATCAACATCATTAAAATGTCCATACTACCCAAAGCAATCTATACATTCAACGCACTCCCCATTAAAATACCAATGGCCTTCTTCAAAGATCTAGAACGAACTCTCCAAAAATTCATCTGGAATAAAAAAAAGACCCCGAATAGCTGCAACGATCCTGAGAAAGAACAAAGTAGGCGGGATCTCAATGCCAGATATCAAGCTGTATTACAAAGCCACTGTTCTCAAAACTGCCTGGTACTGGCACAAGAACAGACATATAGATCAGTGGAATAGAATAGAGAGTCCAGAAATTAGCCCAAACCAATATGCTCAATTAATTTTTGACAAAGGAGGCACGAACATACAATGGAGCCAAGATAGTCTCTTCAATAAATGGTGTTGGGAAAATTGGACAGATATATGCAAGAAAATGAAACTAGACCACCAACTTACACCATACACAAGAATAAACTCAAAATGGATAAAGGACTTAAATGTACGACAGGAAACCATAAAAATTCTAGAAGAATACAAAGGCAACAAAATCTCAGACATATGCCAAAACAATTTCTTCACTGATACAGCTCCTAGGGCAGTTGAAACTAAAGAGAAACTGAACAAATGGGACTACATCAAAATAAAAAGCTTCTGCACAGCAAAAGAAACCATCAACAAAACAACAAGAAAACCCACCTCGTGGGAAAACATATTTGCCAACGTCATATCTGATAAGGGCTTAATCTCCAAAATTTATAGGGAACTCATACAACTTAACAAAAAGAAGATAAACAATCCAATCAAAAAATGGGCAAAGGATCTAAATAGACACCTTTCAAAAGAGGACATTCAGAAAGCCAAGAGACATATGAAAACATGCTCAAAGTCACTAATCATCCGAGAGATGCAAATCAAAACAACAATGAGGTACCATCTCACACCTGTCAGAATGGCCATCATCAACAAATCAACAAACGACAAGTGCTGGAGAGGATGTGGAGAAAAAGGAACACTTGTGCACTGCTGGTGGGAACGCAGACTGGTGCAGCCACTATGGAAGGCAGTATGGAGGTTCCTCAAAAAATTGGAAATGGAACTCCCATTTGACCCTGTGATCCCACTTCTAGGAATATATCCCAAGAAACCAGAAACACCAATCAGAAAGGATATATGCACCCAGATGTTCATAGCAGCACAATTCACCATAGCTAAGATCTGGAAACAGCCTAAGTGCCCATCAGTAGATGAATGGATTAGAAAACTGTGGTACATCTACACGATGGAATACTATGCTGCTGTTAAAAAGAAGGAACTCTTACCATTTGCAACAGCATGGATGGAACTGGAGAGCATTATGCTAAGTGAAACAAGCCAGTCAATGAAGGAAAAATACCACATGATCTCACTCTTTCGTGGATAATTAAGACCATTACAAACTTTCGAACAATAATAAATACAGTGGCAGAGCTGCCTCAGACTGATTGTCGAACTGCAGTGGGAAGGCCAGGGAGGGTTGGGGGACAGGAGGGAGGGGAGTAAGAGATCAACCGAAGGACTTGTATGCATCCATATAACCATAACTAATGGACATAAGACACTGGGGGGTAAGGGAGGGCAGGGGCTTGTCAAGGATGGGGGGGGGGAAAGGACACTTATGTAATACCCTTTGTAATACTTTTAGAGAAAAAAATAAATAAATAAAAATAAAAAAAATAAAAAAAATAAATGAGTGGTAAATATAATACCAGTAAATATATAATGAATTTGGGGGTTGAAGACATCTCTAGAGGTTGGAGTGAGCTATGAAATCTTTATAGAGCATAAAAGAACTAAATTTATCCTTAGAGGAAAAGTAGTTTTAAGAGTTATATGCGCCAAAACTGGTTTGGCTCAGTGGATAGAGCGTCGGCCTGCGGACTGAGGGGTCCCGGGTTCGATTCCGGTCAAGGGCATGTGCCTGGGTTGCGGGCACATCCCCAGTGGGAGGTGTGCAGGAGGCAGCTGATCGGTGTTTCTCTCCCATCGATGTTTCTGACTATCTCTCTCCCTTCCTCTCTGTAAAAACTCAATAAAATATATTTTTTTTAAAAAAAAGAGTTATATGTAACTGGTTTGATGAAAGTATAGAAATAGGAGAAATACAACTGTTTTTTTCAAAATGCATCTTCTAAATTTTAATATATGCCACTAATAACTTATTTCAATCAAGATAATAGTTCTATAAATATTAAAGTAAAAATCATCTGACAGTTACATATATATACATATTTAATAAAAGAAAGTCTGACAGTTTACTTGAACTCATTTTTCTCTTTTGGCTGGCCTCTTGGCTTTCATTTTTCGCTAAAGCAGTACTAGCCACACAAAGTCCACAGAATCATTACCATTGTTTATTGAGAAATGACCAAGTCTGAGTAGCTCTTAACATAGAAAGGACTTCAATATTTGTGAGATATGTAGAAATTCTTTACAGTTGATATTTGACTATTTTAATGTGTTGCTGATTCTTAAAATACTCTCTTTTCAAAGTAATGTTTTTATTTCATAGTGGTAAACCTGTTCTTTGTAATGTTAAACTTGAAAATCAAAGCTGAATGAATTCCTAATCTGATGTTTATTGTATATGAAAATTTTAAAAAATATATGTTTATTGATTTCAGAGAGGAAGAGAGAGGGAGAGAGAGATAGAAACATCAATGATGAGAGAGAATCATTGATCAGCTGCCTCCTGCACACCCCACTTTGGGGATTGAGCCCGAAACCTGGGAATGTGCCCCGACTGGGTATGGAACTGACACCTTCTGGTTCATAGGTCGACGCTCAACCACTGAGCCATGCTGGCCAGGCTTTGATGTTATTAAAATTTATCAACAAAGTTCTCAGGAAATAATCTGAAAAATGCATTGTCTTTTTGGCTTATTTTTTTAAGTTATTTTAATTATTAACTGATATATTTGATATTTTTCACATATTGAGTATTATCAGAAAAGAAAAAAATTAATGAATAATCTAGATATTTTGAGACCAACTATGTAATGTTTAGAAAAAAATCTGGGTAATTGACTAAATTATTCTGTTTGTTCAGAGGTTTTCTTTTGTGAAAGTCAAACACAAAACTATAAGGCATAAGTATATCTAGTCTGGGTCCTTTTGAAGGAAGTGTGTTAAATTGATATCTAAATTATTAAATATTTATTTATTTACAAATCATTATGTCTTAAGATAAAATAGCATGACATATGGTCAAAATGAACTGGTAGAACTAGTTCCATTTCCTCACAGCATGAAAAATTATCCAAATTTAACATTAATTTTGCAGTTCCTATTATACTGTCAATAAAAAAGCAAAATAAAAAGTCTTGAATTTTTAGTAAAAATTAATCTTGGTTGTATCTCACAATGACACTCACTTCTGTTTTTTCTTTGTTTTTGCTAAAATGCCACAAATGTCCAGACTCAAGTTTGCTTCTCAATTGGCCAGATGCTTTCACACTTCACAGCAATAATGTTTCCAAAGCTACAAATCCATTCTTGAATGAACTGTCTGCTTCTAACCCATTTTTGGATGATATAACTCAGCTAAGAAATAACCAGAAGAAAAATAATATTTCCATCTTGAAGGAAGATCCTTTTCTTTTTTTAAGAGAAATTGAAACTGGAAATTCTTTGGATTCCTCTGGTGATGAACTTGATGTGCATCAATTGTGTAGGCAGTCTTACTCAAGGAAATCAGTGAGATCTAAAAGTGTTTCAGAACTTTTGGACATATTAGATGACACAGCACATGCCCATCAGAATATACGTAACTCTGACCAGATCCTGGAACACGACTTAGAATGGCTTCAAAATGATCGAGAGGCTTATAAAATGGCTTGGTTAAGTCAACGCCAGCTGGCCCGCTCCTGCCTGGATTTGAATATCATTAATCAGAGTCCTGGATGGGCCCAAACACAAGTTGCGGAGACTGTGGTAGTTTGTAAATTCAACCACCAAGGAGGGTCAGTACAATTACCTGAATCAGATATCACTGTTCATGTGCCCCAAGGTCATATAGCTGTGGGTGAATTCCAAGAGGTATCGCTAAGGGTTTTTCTCGATCCTCCACAAATGCTTAATCATGATCTTTCATGCACTGTAAGCCCACTGTTGGAAATCACGTTAGGCAACCTTAACACAATGGAAGCCATTTTGCTGGAGATGAAAATCGGGGCTGAAGTGAGAAAGGATCCTTTCAGCCAAGTCATGACAGAAATGGTGTGTTTACACAGCCCGAATAAAGAAGGCCCTTTCACAGTGTTAAACAACTGCTACATTTATAAAGACACCATCCAAGTCAAGCTAATAGATTTGAGTCAGGTCATGTATCTAGTGGTTGCTGCACAAGCTAAAGCTACTCAGTCGCCAGCTGCCACCATCTGGGATTATATCCACAAAACCACCTCAATTGGAATTTATGGGCCCAAATATATCCATCCCAGTTTCACTACTGTTTTCACAGTTTGTGGACACAGCTATATGCCGGGAAAGCTTACAATCTCTGATATTAAGAAGGGTGGAAAAAACACCTCTCCGGTTGTGTTTCAGCTCTGGGGGAAGCATTCATTCTTACTGGACAAGCCACAAGATTTAAGTATTTCTGTTTTTTCATGTGATCCTGGTTTTGAAGTAAAGACAGAAGGAGAAAGGAAAGAACTTAAACAAAATCAGTTGCAAGCCAGTCAAGTATTTCATCAACAATTTTTATTTTCTTTAGTTGACTCCAGAAAAATGCACTTGTTTGTTTTCCAGGTTCAGTTGGGGCCTCCCAATGGTAGACCAGTGACACAGTTTTTTATCACTACACCTGATCCAGCCCCAAACCTAAAAAGACACTTAAATCTGCCAGGTAATTTGCAGAAAGAGAAGGAAATCAAGTCTGCTCCTTCATTACCAGCAGTGTATGTTAAATACCCTACATTTCAAGACAAAAAATTAAACTTTACCAAATATGGAGTGACTCTGAAGACAGTGCTAAGACAAAACAAGATTGACTACTTACTTGAATATATCAAAGGGGACACAATAGCTCTTCTTGGAGAAGGTAAGGTAAAAGCCATTGGGCAGTCCAGAGTGAAAGAATGGTATGTGGGAGTCCTGCGAGGTAAGATTGGACTTATACACTGCAAAAATGTCAAGGTGATTGCAAAAGAGCAAGTAATATCAATGTCAGATCGTGTCTTCACAACCAGGAACCTTCTTGAACAAATTGCCCTGCCCTTTAAAAAACTGACTTATATCTACTCAGTTATATTGACTTTGGTGTCAGAAAAAGTTTATGATTGGAAAGTTTTAGCTGATGTCCTGGGTTACTCACATCTGGCACTGGAAGGTTTTGAACGAACACATGCAGACAAAGAATCAGAAAAAGTTTCTTATGTTTTAAAGAAGTTAAAGGAAGATTGCCACAGAGACAAGAATACCAGAAAGTTTCTTTATGAGCTTGTTGTGGTGAGTATTGCTTGGTCACAGTAATTAATTTACCATAGAAAACTTTATTAACTTGGTGATATTTATAACCAAACATATGAGAGAAGGAGATAAAAAATTCTTAGCATTCTCAAATAATTTGAAGTCAATTTACAATATATATATATATAGCTTTTCCTGCAAGACCATATAATTAGTTTCTTAGATCCAGAAACTAGTCCCATAGGATCATCTTTTAAAGGAAGATTAAAGTTTCTGTTTGTGTTAGAGCATAATAGTTAAGAGATTCTTTTTCTCTCCAAAATATTTGAATAACTCTTAAAATATCAGAAATTCCAATTAGATGAATGAGAGCAAACTGAAACAAAACTAATTAACTTGGCCTTTGCTATAGGTCTGCTTTTTAGTGGTTTTTAAAAAACATATAATCAATGTCCTTTACTTTAGCAGTTTAATATTCTTCTTCTGTATGTGATTCATCATAATGCCAAAATAATATTGCTTATTCTCTTCTTAATCCTCATATTTTAGTAGAACTCACAGGATCATTTTTTTTCCTCATAATATTCAACCTAGTATAAGGCTCAGTGGAGAGTTATAAAGAAGATGATCAACTATTTTACCTTAAAAAGAAAATTTGGTATTTTATAAAAATAAAAAAAATCAAGAGCATATTTCTAAAAATTTCTAAAATGTGAATGTATAAATAATAATAAAAGCCTAATATGCTAAGTGTCTGGTCATCTGGTCATTTGTTCAACCAATCAAAGCATAATATGCTAATGATATGCTAAGGCTGCTCAACCATTGGCTATGACGTGCACTGACCACCAGGGGCAGACACTCCAACCCCTAGGGGTCCAGCCGACGGGACTAAACGAGACAGGCTGGACATGCCCTGGAGCCCTCCCATGGTCCCTCCCCGGCTGGCTAACCTCCCACATCCCTTTCTGGCCCCAATCGTGTACCAGTGGAGTCCCTTGGCCTGGCCTGTGCCCTCTAACAATCTGGGACCCCTCAGGGGATGTCGGAGAGGAGTTTATTCAATGACATTAACAATAATTTATGTAATAAAGAAATAGGAATATTTAAAATATTTCTTCTCTTTCAATTATTTTGATGATTCTACAGTAATACTGAAAGGGTTAAATTTTAAAAGCCCCCTATGCAGTTGAATGTATAGTTTTATGGTGATGTGCTGCAGTATCACTTAATCTGGGCCATTTAGAGTCATTGGCTGATCTACAAGGTCAAAGCTGCACATATATTTTGCAGTAGCTCATTATCTCTCATAGCTCATGTACTGCATGAAGATTTGAATTGAAAATTGCTTTGTTGAACTTAGTGGCAAAAAATGTAATATTGGCCAAATGGTCTGAAAGTTTAAACCTGACTGTGTTGATGTATGATCATGAGTAGCTTTGGTGACAAACTAGACAGTGCTGGTGGAGGGCTTATTCAAGGATGTAGTTGCTAAAAACTCCCAGGGTGTCCCGGGGAGGCTTCAGGATTTCCAAATGTAAGGGGCTTAGGTGTGGTTGTCTGACCAGAAGATGATGGAAAATATGGTATAGAGGCCACCTCTTGAAACTTAATTTGCAAATAAGTATACATTTTTCTTGGATTGTATCCTAATTTGGGGTAACTGGATTGGAGCTGATAAAAATTGTGGGTTCTAAACTCTTTAGTCATCTCTAGACATTGAGACTGACTGTCCTTATATACTTGAAACTTGATACTCTACAAAGTACTTGAGCATCTGATTCAACTTTCATAATGATTATAGGAAATTAGATGGGGTGTTATTAATGCTGTATTTATTTTTTAAATCATTAAATAGAGATACTTTTGAGATTTACCTAAAGTCCTGTACTATGTGGAGCTGGTCTTTAAACTCGGGTTTTGCATCCTAAGTGCAGATTTTTCCCCTTGAAACAAGAAACTGAGATAAGCATTGCTAATCCCACTCCTCAGTTTAGTAAAAGAACCTTAGGGGCCTGATGGCTCAGTACTACTTCTCCCTGTAGTTATAAATCCTCACTATAAATGTATGGACTATGGACTAGTATAAAGACCATGGGTAGTCCTTCTAATGGGAAAGAACCATCTGTGACCTTACTTGGTCATTCATTTTTACTTATTGTTTCATAATGATAGACAGTGTTTTTAAGTGCAATTAAATGATGAGGGGCCACCCAACATTTTTTTTTTTTTGCTTATTTGAACAAAAAAGAAATGTAGATAGATTTAATCCCATATTTTAAAAATATATTCAGGGCAAAAGAGAAACTCATGGACTTGTTTGAAATGTGTAATGATTGACAAGGCTTAGATGCCTAATTAAAGAAGAAAGAGTCTGATGATATTCCATTTTGCATTATAGAAGACTGAATGTTTTATCTTTAATACCTTGTGGTTTATATTAGGCACAATTACACTAGTGATTAAGGGAGAGGGATAATTTTTTTAAAGTTATTATTATCAATAGCTTTGTTCAAAGTTGTGGTAGTGTCTCATTTACATGCAATGGCAGAATTCTGTGAATTTTAAATCACATTTTGATGAAGAATAGAATGTTTATTGGCACCAATGTGCTCGCTCCTCAGAGAAATACTGCATCAATCCTCTGATAAGGAAAGGGATTATTTTTTGAAGAGTGAATTATCATTCCTGAATTGATCAATTATAGACCCTTAGAACCTTAGGATGTCCTTAGAAGTGTCTAGTTCAGTGATGGCGAACCTTTTGAGCTCAGTGTGTCAGCATTTTGAAAAACCCTAACTCAACTCTGGTGCCGTGTCACATATAGAAATTTTTTGATATTTGCAACCATAGTAAAACAAAGATTTATATTTTTGATATTTATTTTATATATTTAAATGCCATTTAACAAAGAAAAATCAACCAAAAAAATGAGTTCGCGTGTCACCTCTGACACGTGTGTCATAGGTTCGCCATCACTGGTCTAGTCCAACATCCTCCTTTTGCAGTTAAAGATATTAAGAAACATATTAGTTAAGTGGTTTACCCAAGGCCCTATATTTAGCCACTGAGTTGGTCCTAAATCTCCTTTAATTTTGGTCCAGCTGTGTCCTCTGTACTTTGCTGGTTGGATTTGCTTAAAAGTAAATCAACTTTTTAAAATTTAGGAAACTCAATATATGTGTGGTGAGAAATAGGATGCCAGTTTCTAGACTACGTAATGAAAAATTGAATTTCTAGGGAAAAGCCCACATTCGTTGCTTTTAATTGTGACATGTAATTCTTGCTGCAGGCCCTGCTGAAGATGGATTGCCAAGGGATAGTAGCGCATATCATCCAAGAGGCTGCGCTCCTGACTTCAGCTGTCAAGCTGGGAAAAGGCTGGAGGGAACTAGCTCAAAAGCTAGTACGATTCACAAAGCAGCAAGTGGAGGCATATGAAATTCCTCACCGAGGAAAAGCTGGAGCTGTTGCTGTGGAGGTAATATTTCTGTTTGTCTACTTCAATAGTGAAAAATTGCAGACCAAGTAAACCAAATGTAATCAATCCTGAACCACTTACATGGATAAATTGGGGTTCTGTTCTAGAGGACCCCTAACTGAAGTCACAGTCCCTATAATCATTGATATTTTCTGAAATATGCACATATCACTCTTTAAAGGCCTTTAAAATATGCATTGAGAGCCTGTAAAATATATTGATGCTTATCTTATTGGATTGCATATGAACATGGTCTTTAATCAAATGAATTGACCAAATTGGATAGCTAGTCAGTTATTAGGCAAGCCTAGAAGAATTTGAGGCAGAGAACACATAACTTTGAAGGGAGGAGATTAGACCCAGTCAGGGCAAGGGAAAATTACACAATAATAAGTATTTATCAACGTTAGGCAGAGACTTAGTAATTTGTGATAAATAGTATTTGGTGACAATAAGCATTAAGAGGGTGGATGGTAATGATAAACAAAGATCTCTAAGAGCTTCATTGTCTCTTTGACAATTTTGTGTATAATAGAAACTATAGACATCAAATATAGAATCACAGCACATAACACAAAGTAATATTTATCTTGGAAATATTAAATAAAATTTAATTTTTATTAATATTAAATGTATACTGTTAGGCATAAGTTAGATACATATTTGCTCTATTTAGTAAATAATTTGTGACAATTTTTATGACTTAAATAAAAATATTCCAGTGATGAGCACCTATAAAATGTTCTGTATTTTTCTCTCACATGAGTGTAAGCATTTTCAAGATATGTATTTCAGTTAAGGGAAGATTATCTCTCTTATTAGTGATGACTTGGTAAGAGGCAGAAGCTGTGTTCTCCACTTCCTTTTGGGGCATCGAGCTGGAAATTAATAGAGCTGGAGAAAATTTTCTTACTTTGAAGCAACTATGCCAGCTGGGTGTGCAGGACAAAACAACCTTTCCATGAAGGGACAAGAGTCAAATCAAGTCAGTTGAATCCCAGCATGTGCAGTGGAGGTCTCAGCAGGATGGCTTCTGGGAACCTAGGGCCTACCTCTCCCTTAAACAAGACCTTTCAGCCAAGAGTAGCTGGAGGCTGACATATTTCCTCCTCTTAGACTACATTTATCTCTGTACCCTAAGAAGTGCCTTACGACTTACAAATCACTTTTTACTGAATGAGCTAAAAGATGAGGAATTTATAGGAAACAAGAACAACAACATTTAGGGGGATATGCTGCTCTGATATTTCAGTTAACTGATGAGAAAGTTGTCTAATTGAGATGTCACTGCACACCTATTCTAACTGACAAATTCAGAACACTAATAACACCAAATGCTGTTGAGTATATGGAGCAACAGGAATCCTCATTCGTTGCTGGTGAGAATGCAAAATGGTACAGCCACTTTGGAAGGGACTTTGGCTGTTTCTTACAAATGAAACATACTCTTACCATATTTTCTATTTGTGCTCCTTGGTATTTACCCAAAGGCATTGAAAACATGTCTACACAAAAACCTGCACATGAATGTTTATAACAACTTTATTTATAATTACCAAAATTTAGCCCTAGCTGATTTGGCTCAGTGGATAGAGCAATTGGCCTGCAGACCAAAGGGTCTTGGGTTAGATTCTGGTAAGGGCATATACCTCGGTTGCTGGCTCCTTCCCAGCCCAGGCCCTGGTCGGGGCGGCACATGCAGGAGACAACCAATTGATGTGTTTCTCTCACATCGATATTTCTCTCTGTCTTTCCCTCTCTAAAAATCAATGGAAAAATACCTTTGGGTGAGGGTTAAATATATATATATGCATTTACCAAAATTTAGAAGCAACCAAGATCCCTTCAGTAGGTGAATGGATAAAATGAACTTGGAATATTATTAAGCACTAAAATGAAACAAGTTATCCATGAAAAGACATGGAGGAACCTTGAATGCATATTACTAAGCAAAATAATCCAACCTGAAAAGGCTACATGCTGTATGATTCCAAATATATGACATTCTAGAAAAGGCAAAACTATGAAGACAGTAAAAAGATCAGTGGTTGCCAGGGATTGGGAGGGAGGGATGAATAGGAAGAGCACATGATTTTTAGGGCAGTGATACTATAATGATGGATATATGTCACTATACAGTTGTCCAAACCCATAGAATGCACAATACCAAGAGTAAATCCTAATGTAAACTACGGACTTCGGGTGATTGTGCTGTATCATTGTAGATTCATCAATTGTAACAAATATACCACCTCTGGGGAGAGTTATTGATAATAGGGAGGCTATGCCTATGGGGGCAGGAAGTATATGGGAAATCTTTGCACCTTCCTCTCACTTTTTCTTTAAACCTAAAAGGTCTCTAAAAAATCTTTTTAAAAATTGTCTAATTGAAAGCAGGAATTTTTTTCTTAATAAGTCTCTGTTCTTAAAAAGGTTTTGTTGAAAGTTATTTATCAGAGTTATTTATTCTCTCGGCTTTGTTAAGCATCTGAATTCTCTCTAATTATGGTTGTTTATAGTTTGTCTTTCCCCAAATCTTGATGGAGGCCAAACAGCCTACTTTTCCATTATTTACATTTGCACAGCCCGAATCCCAAATAACTAAGTCTATGCCAAAGTTAATAAATTCTCAGAAGCAGAAAGGAAAGCCCCTAGGTGTCTTTTGAGGGACTAATGTTTAATTTATTGTGATTAATACTAACCATCATCATTCTGATCCAGGTTATTAAATTCTTAAAAATAATCCATAGTATATTGGCCTAAACCACCCCAAATAATCTGTGGGAATCTTTACCTGTTAGGCCACTTAAACTAAAGAGTAAATCTATGCTAATTTCCATCCCCTGGAAAAAACATGGCTGCATAATTTTTTCTCTCAGGAAGGAGATGATTCTTAAATATGATCAATTTACAAGTCAAGTAGTTGATTTGAAAACAGACTGATAGTAGTTCTGGGTAGGGGACTCAGAGGAAGGAAAGTGGAATTGGGCTGGGGAGATAATAAGGTCTCTTATTTCCTTTATCTCACCACTTCAGAGGGCACACATTCCGAAAATTTCCAATGCCTACAGTCCGGCTCTCTCACTCACTTTCCTTTCTCTTCAACTTCTCTTTTTCCCTTTGTTCTATTTTTATTGTATCTAACATTTATCTAGCACTTACTCTGTGCCAGGCACTGTTCTGGTCACATTTCAAAGATAAACTTGATCCTTTGAACAAAAACTTGTGGGTCGGCACTAATATTATCTAAAATGTAGGGAGGCTGCTACTTGCTTAAAAGCATGCGTAGTGAGAAACTTATGGAACCATGTTTAGAGAGCAGGCCTTTGACTTTGGGGTCCTTGTGCTTTACACTCTGCCCTCCCACTCCCAATCCAGGGTGGTGGCTGAATGACAGCTGGTAGATGTGGTTAGGATGGGGGCTTTAAGCATCTCATTTCACCTTTTTTCTTCTTTTTTCAAGTTATGATACTACTAAAATTTGCCTGAACATCTTCATCAAGCCTCAGGCCAATTAAAGAATGGAGATCATTAATAGTATGTCTGTTAGATTTTTGTTGAGTATTTTGGCCATTTCTTACTCTTTTATAAGATGGGGGGGAAAAGCCTCTCTCTGGGGACTTCTGAGAAGGTCACTTTTTAAATTAATCATCTCCCTAAATTAAATTTTAATAAATATTACTCAATTTTTCTAATGACATTGCAATTCCTACATAAAAACAGAACTATAAAACTTGAAATATGACTGTTAGACACTTATGCTATGCAAAGATGTTTAATTGTTGCCAAGGTTTTCCTATGAAAGTTAGTAAAAATTGGAGTTTTTCTCTGAAGATACTTAAATCTTCCATTTAAACAAAATAGGAATCAATAAAATATTAGAAAAATAGCACATTTTTAAAAACAGTTGGGTTTTCCAAGGGGCAGTGCTGGGGATTTCAAAGATAAGATATTCACAGGCCTAAATTAGGTGCTCTTCACTTAGCCCTCTGGGGATTATGACCATATCCTAGCAACGCTCTCCCATTGGCCCCCTGCCTAAGAATAGATTATGCTCTTTCCATCTTATTCAGTATGGACACTTATTCACCAAGGACACTAAAAGTTCACTTCCACCTTTAAGATACCTTTTACCAATGCTCGCCTCAACCACAGGCACCCATCAGTTGAGGCACCCATCAGTTGACCTGCCAGAGTGGGCCACCCTCCCTACGGAAGCCCAACACAGTCAATATTCTAATTATAATAGTTTTTTTCCTTCTCAGAAGCCACTCACCTATAGATTTAGAACTGGCAAGGTATGTTTATGTCTTTTTGTGGTCAACACTTAAGTAGGGAGGATCTAATTCTCTGTTTTATCTTCTAGCCGGAATCTGTCCTTCCTCATTTATGACTGGCTTCAGTAGTGTTCAGAACCCTTTATTCTAAGTCCAGATAAGACATGGGAGAGTAGGTCAACCTCAAATAGCTAATTTTATTAATTGTTTAATAATTTTAAAAAATTCTATATGGAATTCCTCCTGCTTGTTTAGTATTTTTTCCCTCTGTATATTTTCTCTTAGTATTTAATTCAACCATACTTAACACATCCCCAGGGACTTCCGTTCTCAGCATTGGAGCATTAGGAGCTAAAGAAAACACAACAATGAAAAATATGATTTTTCTCTCTAAAGCCAAATTTTATTTGGCCTGGGAATTGTGATAAACTGTTATATTTGAATTGTTTTATTTTAAAGAAGTATATGGTTAGATGCTTTAAAAAGTGAAACTAAGAATAAGAATGATAATAATTGTGCAATTTATTGTATATGAACTGAGTGTATGAACATTTTCTTTACAATATCATTTATTTCAACAAACTTTCTAAGGAAGACATTATACCATCTGCTTTTTATAGGAATGCAAACTAAGAGAATGAATTTGTGTAAGTTATTCAGAGTAACATAGGTCTTAAGTGACAGAATGAGGATTCAAACTCGGGTATTGTATGCACAGTCCTT